ATTTATGGGGAGTAGAATTATTTATTTATTTCAATGAATGTAATCGATTAGATATCATAATATTTAGGCTATAATAATATAAATCAGGTTGGTTTGTATTGCCGACATAATATGTAAATGATATGCTTGCGGCCCACGAGACTTGCACTTTGACCATAGTGCGGCCCGGTGGAAAAAAAGGTTGAGAACCACTGCTCTAGCGTGTCGACTAGTAGGAGCTGTACCGTTTAGTCGACGACTAGATCCGCACATCCTGTCCTGCCATAACAATGGCAGGAATATAGCCACCCTCAGATGGCTATACTAAGGAGATCAGTGTCAGTCCCACAGTAGGCTAGCGAAGCACTGTATGCATGTAGTGTGAGCGAAAATCACAAGACTGCTCGAGGAGATATCAGATTTCCATGTCCACTATTTTGGGTGTTAATGCTTTAAAAGTTTCTCATTACAAAATAAAAAGGAGAAGAATTTAATTACAAAGTCAGTATGTAACATTGGCACCATGCCCTGAGGTAAAGTTTGGAGACAGTTCCACGTTGATGATAATGATAATGATTTACAGGTGCATCTCAATAAATTAGAATGTCGTGGAAAAGTTCATTTATTTCAGTAATTCAACGAGTCACGCCGAGAACATCAATACCTATTATACTATATTTGGCTGAGCTTGCTGAATTTTGTTGAAAACATAGTTTTCGAGCGCGGAACTTATAAATGTGGAGCTTCTGATGCGTGTAGCATGATTGCGTGAACATTTCTGAGCAGCATAAGCTATATATTGTGAGAGGGTCATGCGTCACCGCATCCCAAAGACTCAAAATAATAAAAAGAGTTAACAAAACGATGCACTCCACATTCACCACGCTAGATAGTCGGCTCGCTGAAGATTCTGGAATTTTGGTCAAATACATGCTTATTTCACTGTTTATAATACATACAATATGCTTCAAATTATTGTTCATATACATATATATATATATATATATATATATATATATATAAATATACACTAATTT